TTTTTTTTTTGTTTTGTTTTGTTTTGTTTTGTTTTGTTTTATATTTTTCATCAGTTTGCTGTACTTTTTTATTGTGTGATATGCCATTTTTAAGTACAGATTAATTGTTTGCAGCGAATCGGCGTAATGATACGTTGGATAAAAACGATCCAGAAAATAGCGGGTATACCGATTCACGAAATTTATCGTTAACAACACCCTTAGACGGTCCCTCAGCTATCGTTGTAAACGAAAATGGTTTAACGAATTCAGATTCTAGTGTGCCAACATTTTTACAAGATTTTATGAACCATTCGTTGTCCAGCGAAAAAGAGCAGCAACTATTTTTATTAAAAGCAGAAATCTTACAAATGAAGAAACGCTTAATGCGGATGAAATGTGAATATTACAGGAAGAAGATTGCATTGGTGGAATTGATGAAACAAAATAGTTTTTGTTCCTCTAGTGCCTGATGCTATGTTGTGATTAGAAGAGAGAAAGAAGAAAAAAAACGCAAAAAAATTTTTTTTTAATATTTTATATGTTTTTAATTAGTAGCAAAAGTTGCTACTAACAGAGATAAATTTGTAACTATTTTGCCAGTCAAAATTTGGCTGATATATGATAAAGATGCGGAACTATTGCTTAAGCTGCATACGTAGCAGTAGCACGAAAAAAAAGGAAATGAAGCTTTTTTTAATCAACAGACATCATGCCAACATTCAAATTAAGCTACCGAGTTCGGTACACAGGATTTGCATCTTGTCTTTCGGATCATCGGCTTTAGAACGATGAAGAGCAACTGTTACGAGAACTTTATTTAAGGATTTGGTTAATCAGACAATTTTTTTTACTTTTTTGCTTCACTATGACTCTGTTGGTAAAGCAATGTCAAAAATGGCAGTTTTTATTATTTTAGTGAATCTAAAACCATGTTTTCTGCAAATTTTCAGTCTATTTTAAATTTTGGAAAACGAAAAGCTCATACTTTTGGTTTTTTGCTGTTTCTAATTTGGGATGACCTTTATTAGTAGCACTTAGGTACAAAAATGCTGGCAAATGACTGATATCAATTGTTGTCCTGAACGCACTGAGTTATCATTGTCATTTTTTTCATTTAAATTTAGATTTTATTTGACATCAAAATAAATTCTTAAAAATTTTTTATGGCTGCAAAATATTTCCGTTGCAGATCAAATAGGATGGCTTCTTTTAAACCAATAAAGACGTTTTAGTTGTCTACTATAGTTGAGGGATTTTGTTGGGTTACTAAAGCTTGTTTGTTCTGACTTACTGAAGCAAGTTCATTACATGGAAATGTTCATTGGTAGTTACTTCTCCAGCTGAGGCAATAAATTTGAAAAATTTACCAGAAGTGATATTACAGCATTCTGGATTACAAATTCTGATGACTTCGCGGATTTCTGAAGCAAAAAACTGTTCTTTAGCTTCTTGGAATTATAGGTGAAGACAATTTTACGACTGTAAAAGTTCTTTTACCATTTGGTTACTCCTCTGCACATTGTAGATCGTTTTTGACACTAAGCAGAGAAAGCACAAATTAATTGCTCAAGGAATTATCAGACTTTTAGACAAAGATTACAGATGAATCTTTGTTGAAAGTTGTCAAAATCTGACCAGCAGAAGCAACGTTAACTGAAGAAATGATTTTCAGGCTGTGGTCAGAGACATAGCACAGGTGGCCGACAAATTTCAACCATAGATACATATTTACCGGTTTGTCAGATGTCTAGTTACTCTCCAACAAATCTTTCATCTTCGTTTAATTTTTTTAAAGCTTAAGTTTTTTAGGGCTTGCATTCATTGGTAAAATTTTTTCAGGTTTTCGACTTTTGCGATGTTGGGGAAAGGTTTTTTTGAGACAAGTCTTATCTTGTGGGGGAAGATTCAAATTCAGAAACAGGGTATCAGGAGACGGCCGTGTTACGATGCTCAGCAATATTTCTTGTCATTTTATTTTTTAATACTTTTCGCCTTTGACTGAAATTAGAGTTTTTGCACTGTTTTTCGGCATCATATTTGATAGACAAGAGTTTAAGCTTCTCAACTGTGACTGTGTTAAGATTGAGAGGAAAAATCAAAAGAGGAAACCTCAGTTTTACTCATTTATGCATAAGTTTTTTTTACAGTGGAATAGAGGATTCAGTGATTAAAATAAAAAGACAAAGTTTTGGAGAGCAATAATGGAAGAAAACTGTTTGTGACCAAACGGATTCTATTTTCTTTGGAATTCACTGGTACACGGACTTCTTTTGTCATGTTGGAACCGAGTTTTCTAAACCGGTGACAGCTCTTTTTAAAGTATGTGATTCAAGCAAACAGAATGTTCCTCAGATAGGTGTATATTTTTTGAAAAATTATAATTGTGCGATGAGGCAAAATTTTTTTTTTAAAAAGTGATCATTAAACTGTAAATCACGGCAGCATTATAACGACCAAAAGAACTTCTTAACTTTTGATTTGTTTGTCAAAGCACAAAAATATGACTGTAAATAATTCAACGCTGTTCACAGATATTATTTTTTGCTCTCGGCACGTTTGAAGGAGTGTGCAGTCTTTGTTTCAGATTTAGGTTTTTCTATTAGGCAAGATATTATTAGTGAAATTACATATTAAGATGCAAAGAAAAATAAGAGTGAGCTGGACCCTTTTAATGCCACCAAATAAATCCTCCTTTTCCTTTCGCCTAATAATAAGGAAATTCTTAATAAGACTCAACTTTACTTTTAATGTTAATTTTCAGTATCGTATCATGCATGAAAAGGTTCAATGTCATTAATGTCACACAACTAAGCCTTTCTCAGCAGCCTATCACTTCTTGTCTAATGTTCCATAAAGCATAACGGTCGAGTACGCGCAATCCATTTGTTACTGTCATACATCGTGACTCTGTTGCCCTCAGCGGTCGTCATTTTTTGCCAAACTGTTAAATTCTGATCGTCAAACCAGTTTACAAGATCAATCAAGTTCTAAGTGTTCTGATCGCTCCAATAAATCTCACTCTTGAACTATTTTGTTTTACGCGTGATTTCCAAGTCTCAAAGTTTTGATCTTGTTACGGTGATTTTCTAATTCCAGTTGGAAAGTAGATCACGGGAATTTGTTATTCAATTTGTTAGTGGCTATCCATGAAGAAAACTCTCAAAGTCGTTCCTTCTGGAAGAGGAGAGGCGGGAGAAGACAAGAGACATTTTTAATATTTTTCTGTAATCAAAGTAAATAATTATTCGTTTATTCTCATTCGTATTGCGACTTACAACTCATTTTTTTCTTTGGAACAGTCACATCTTCAAAGTTTAGATAGTTGAAGAGGAGTTGGCAGACTACCGAAGCAAAAAATTTGAAATTCAACTCTTAAAGACGCATTGTCGTGCAAGAATGGCTTGTTTTGCTTCCAACATAGGAAAAACAGTTAAACAGGTTTGATGAAGTTGTGTTTTACGCTTAAAATTATGTAGCTAGCCAATGAGAGCACTCAACGAAGCGACTACATCAACTTTCTGAAAGGTGAATGATATCAGAATGGATGTTGAAAAGCAGCAGATTATTATTCAGCTTTCTTTAGAGGAGGTCTTCGGACGAGGCATAACGGTGGCAGACAGAACTTTTTATTAATGAATACAGGAAAGTAGAAAATAATGGACGTGACAGCAAATCTACTGACGGATGCCAGTAAGTTTGTAGAAGAGGTTTAAAAAGAAAACAAGTTTAAGTGATTTTTGCATATGAAGTTTGAAGAAATAAAGAAAGTTTAAATTTTATAGTCCACTGGTGAAGTCCACTGGTAAAATGGTGAAGTTCAGGAAGCATGGTTTGTCAAGACAGATATACTAAAACGGTAAACAAAAACACCATGTTTTTGGAAAAGAAAAACTTTCGCTGGAGAGAAAACTGTGAAAAAAAAGGAAAGTGAAGAGGCAAAGTTTGCGTATTAAAACAAGTTTTTTGTCATTGGACGGCTTTTTCGCCAGATAGTCAAACAAAGCTTCTCCTTCATTAATGGTCCCAATTGCGATGGCCAAAACCGGATATGTTTTTGGTTTTCTTCTTTGTTTTTTTTAGAAAAGATATTGCAAAATTGATGCTAATGTCTACTAAAATGTTGCCTTTGAAAGTGTCCTAAAAGTCTTATGATGGCGGTTTTTTCCAACAGTACAAACTATGCTTCTTCAACAAAGCTGTCATAGCTTCACTTTCTAAAATTAATGCTCGTCTTGAACACGGCTGATGGCAAAGTTTTGAAACCAGTCAGTCTCCTGTCTTACAAATTTTGAAATTCATAATAGAAGACATGTTACATATCGTTGATGAGGGCCCTGTGACGAGGTTGGTATTTGTGAAGTGGGGCATCACAGTTACTGCCTTCGCGCGTTTATTTACCCGTTGTCAATAATTCATTGCGTGGAATAACCGGGGAAACCTTTCTCGTTTTCTATAAAATCATCTTTGAAAAATTTTGTTTAGATTCGACGTCATTTGCCATAATTAGCCAGAAAATTTTTAATTTTGTTTTGTTCTCCAGTGAACTGTACTGTTTGTTGTGTCACATAGCTGTCCTATTAGTACTTCCTCATAAAAGTGGCGCTTTTTTACAGTTCTGTTCTATGATCTTATTCTTACACCATGAATTTAACCTTATAAATTCCGGTTACTTGACTTTTTGCGGTTTACATGTTTCTCTCTTTTTGATTCGTTTCGTTCTCTGTAAATATTTTCAATTAGCCAAAACAAAGTTATTTTAATTACGTATATTTTATGAGAAACAATTTGATCACAGATAAAGTGTAGATGAATGCTTGTGATTGGTAAAAAAATGAATTCTGAAAAAAAAAAGAAAAGGTAAGTCAGTTTTTTGTTAAAACTTTAATATTTCATCTGTTGCTAAAATCTGAAAAAGTAATTTACAATAAATTAATTTTGTGATATTTCGATGGTCGCATAGCACACAATTTCTTTTAACAGCAGTTTTGGCTAACAAAGGTTGTAGAAAGGAGGTGAACGGAGCAGTAATCTTTTGAAAGGCATAAGTAGAAGCAAAATATTTGAGACCTCCTGCTTTGATGGTATGAAATAGAGAAGTTCAAATAGAAAGGTCATGTCTGATTCCAAAAGGAAAGAAAAAGGAAAGGTGTGAAAAACGAAAAAGGGCAAAGATGCGCTATAAATAATCGTTTTTTTTTCTTTTTTTGCACCAATCTGTTTACAAATTTTCTAGTTTCCTTTATTGAAAAATTGTTTACCGTTTTTATCTTTGATATATGTTGTTTAATCTTTTCTTTTTTTGCTTTTTTCGCGGGTCAATTTGAAACTTGAGATAGAACTGAAGCAAGGATGAAAAAAACAGCTTTGTAATGGGTATAATCTTAATTTTGGAAAGAAGATGCAGGAAAAGATTTTTGGTATATACTTTAGGTTTGTAGTAATTTCAAAGATTCCTACAGTTTCTACTCAG